TTATCTAAGACAGAGTGAAACAGTTTGGAAACTAAGACTTGTTTAAAAAATGGAGTCGGGTAATAAAAAGTAATTCTACTAACACGGGTTGACCTCCATCACCGAAATTGCTTATAATACAATTCCATACAACAAAAATCGTTATCATACAATTCCATACATCAAGTGTATGGAGAAAATGCTTGCCATACACTTTTCATACATGTTCGAAAAAACAAAGAAAAAAATAAAACCATTTCTGCGGCTTTTTGAGAACAGTTGAACAGACTGGTGACAAAAAAAAAACTGATTTAATTTAAAAAAACAACACTTACCATACAAATTCCACATATAGAAATTGTATGAGTGGCATTTATTTCATGGCGACACAAAATTTTTACAAAGTTGTTTTGAAAATTTGCCCCAAAAAATTTTTTTGTTTTTTTTTTTCAAACGCAAACCGAATTTTATACGCAAGCAAACATTTTTCGAAAAAAAAAATTTTTCATGCAAAATTTTATTTTTTTTGTGTGCATAACGTAGTCTGGATACAATAATATTGGCTTTTCTTTTCTGACTTAATTTTTTTTTTCAAAAACGCTGAAAATTTCTATTTCTTTTTTATGGCGTGTTTATGTCCTTGCCAAAAATTAAAAAGTTTGTTACTTTTGTTATACCATTTGTGAAAGACAGCTCGAAGACAGTTCAGGTCGTTTTCTAAGCATTGTAAATGAAAGACCGTTCCAACCTTTGGTGCTTTGAGTAACGAAGGTTTTTGTCACTTGTGTTCGGTTGCAAACAAACCCAAAATTTTTCAGAAAATAAAATTAGAAACAAAAAAAAACTTTTGATTTATGGAAAAAACACCTATCATACAATTTCCATTTATGGGAAATTGTTTATTATAGAGATTTCATACAGTTTTCTGTATGTATGGAATTGTATGGAATTGTATGATAAAAAAATTTCCCATTTATGAGAATTGTATGATAAGCGTTTTTGGTAAACCGGGGAATAATTGTGGTAAAATTATAAACTAAGAGTAGTTTAAAAGAAGGTTCTGGATAAGCTGTTAAATGCCAGCTAAACTAAGGCTAATTTAAAACTCGTTGTTTAAAGTTGAACTGACAAAGAGCACTTTGGCAGGTAAACGCAAGTTTCACTTCAAAGTTATAATATACATTTCACGTTCCCCTTAAGATGATACAGAAATAAAAAGTATAATAACTACCTTCTTCGTCCAAGGAAGTCGAACCTAGGTCGGTAGTGTGTTAGCATTTTAGGATATTCGTACCTCCAGATCTAGTATAGTAAAAGGGAAAAGTTATCGAGGATAAGCACTGTATGTTTTGGAGTTAGATTACCGTTAGAGCACTAATTTCTAACCAATATGAAATTTTAAATATATAAAGATTAAGACTAAGATTGGTATGAAGATTTAGATTGCAAAAACTGACTAAAAATTTGTATACCCGATGGGCGTGTCACAGTTTGTTTTTCGGTTCTTCTCCGGATTTCTTTAGATTGAGTCCCCGGTAGTTGCCTGGATAGTAGACCATAGTCTCAGCACGTCTAGGGCCATGGTTCGTCCCAGCAAATCCACTGCCTCGAATATCCAATTTCATATTTCTTGTATAATCGTCTCTTTGGAGCTGCCTGTCGCGAACTTTGGATTGGTCCTGGATGGCACAATGGTTTCGGTTTTTTGCCCCTAACGGAACACGCAATCATTTTTCGCAGACCTTCTTCTTCAGCGATTCCCTTGAGATATTCATCGCCGCGTTTTTTTTTTCGATATCAATCTTCTCAAACTTCGCTTGGATATTTTTCATTTCTGGAATGTTTTGAGTTCTTGAACTCCTCCATTCGTGGTTTTTAATCGCATCGAAATTTTCGAGTTTGATCTTCTTGCGTGGACTCGTTCTCTACAGAACGTAGGTTTTCTTCGCTTTTGAATTGATTTGCCGCTCTCAAGCGTAATTCGCTTCTTAAGCTCTCTATAGTAAGATTTTTCCTACCTTAAACGTTTCCAAATTCAACGGACTGGCCCGACGGCTCCTGGAGTTTTCACTTTTTGGATCGGGGAAGGTTATTGACTGGGATCCAGAGCTAGTCCGCACGTATTTGGTCGCATTAGTGAAATCCTCAAAAATTGAAGAGACTTCTTCCAAATGTACGTCTCCAATGATGTCCAGGTATCCAAGTCACATCGTGTTTAGCGGAAATTATTTCTCTCATTAATTTCTCTCATTTATCTATAAACAACAGTTCTTTGTTCCAGTTTAGGTAGTTTGAAAAAAGATGTTTTACTAGATTGTGCCAAACTGTATTTGGTAATCTACCGAAGTAAGATTTGAAAGTCGAGCGATTAAGTGAATGTTCAGCTATCATTCTCTATCTGATTGTGATTTTAGTTGGGGCTAATTCAAGAGATGGTTTTGATTTTTCCTGGGTCATCGTAATTTACTTATTCTAATTGTTTATGGTTATAATAGGTCTGTTGCTTCGTGACAACCCACTGGGCCGACTATTACAATATTAAGTTTTATTACTAGCAAATTTCACGTACTTCCTTTGAATTAATAATCGACCCTTGATCCATTCTAAGTGGTCTAGATATTTCAAAGTTATACAGCTTCTAGCAAATTATTGACCAATTTTGACGAAGTACACGATACTAGTTGAGCTGAAGGGTGTTTTGAAAACCTAAGTACGCATACCAAAAAAGTTTTCCCAGGCTTCCTGCTTGGTTAAGCTTTATAGGTTTTTATCTGCGTTGACGCATTTTTGCAATTTTAACGGTGAACTTGAATTACTCTGAAGAATTTTGGCCACAAAACGTACAACCTTGCTCTATTTTTCATGGTAACTTATCCTGAGTGTGCCTCATGGAGGCGTTGTAGTCCTTCTGTCCTCAAGAATACCGGTATAATTAGTTTTTCTTCGAAACCCATAGTGGCGTGTAAGTTGCTAAGGTGGGATTTGTAATGTTAACCTAAATGTAAAATGCCATCTCTTCTTCATTCATCAATTGCTACAATCCTCTATAAGACTACGTCCTGGTACGTTGAAAGGACCATACTTTATGGTAATGAAGATTTCTGACCAGAAAAAAGGGACAAATTAAATTTACATAACTATTCTTTGAGCTCGTTCTGAAATAGAACCTTTGGTCGTTTTCAAGACTTTTTTAGTACTAGTTACTGCAGATTGGAGATTGACTTACAGGGATGAGATTTCGAATCAAAGAGGCAGGCTCACACAAAGAGGCAGGCTCATATCGATTTGCTCGGATATTTTCTTCAGAATGGCAACAGTTACTGAGAAGTTTTGCATTTTTGCAAGACGGGAAACACTCTTCCCTGTGCTAGTGAGATTTGGCACGCTTGAAGCGAGCTTATAAGATTCGCAAGAGTTCTGCTGCATTCTTATTTTGATTCCCACGTTCGCTTTCTTGCGTTATTAGTTTATTAACAAAATGACATATCAAACTGCAGTTTTTTTTATTCATATGATTCTAGTTGCTGAAAAAAAAATTACTGATTTCAGAGCGAGAATATCTAGACATCAATTTCTCAAATTCAAATTTGATGCATTAACAAATTTTGGTATAATTGTCCTCTCTTGGGGGCCCTATTAACGCTTTTGTGAGATTTGAAAACTGTTGGCCTTAAAAGTAGTTTTTGAAGTGATCGAGTGCCCAAACTATTACCAGTGTTTCAAATTTGTTTGTACTACTCTTTTGTCTCCCAATTTGAGAATCTACTGGCGAATGCAACCGTCTTCCAGTTTCCTAATGGTCCTAGTCCTACTCAAGGGAAGCACCCGTGAATAAATGTGAGGCATCGTTTTAATTTTATTTTAAAAATGGTGATTTGTAACTCTATTGCAATGCTCTTTCTTGATAATTTAGAACGCTATTTGGTGTAATATGACCAATTAAACCGTTTAGTTTCCCCCATTAGTTCCCAAAAAGATGTAGATAAAAAAAGCTAAGCTCGGTATATTTCGGTTAAAACTGTTTAATTGATCCCATTAAAGATCTTATATCCATTATAAACTTGGATTCTTTTCAAAATGTCTGTCAAAAGCTTGCAAAGGTTCAAGGCGATCGAGCTGGCGAAGCGCTGCTTCTGAGCACGCTTCGGCTCCCACACAGAAGAAGAAGAAGAAGAAGAAGAAGAAGAAAAGCAGCAGTTAAGAAATCATCGAGATAACAATGTGTGTTTGGGTAGTTTATCAATCAATTGATGCATAATTCGCTGAAAGTCGTAAACTAGTTTGGCATTGTTTCTAGGCCGTAAAATCATCCGGTTTTAAATCTGTGAGGAGCTGTATAGTGCCTCCAACTATGTTGAAGTTAGATTGATTGCCGACTTTCTTCGTTATTGATAAACGTTTTTATGCTTATTAAAAGTGCACGCAACACAAACATTTGGTTCCTCATGTCCGCTAGTTGTCAATGCTATAAACTCAAATAAGTTAGGCAATTGATACCTGTCCAAAAAGTTTTTCTTGTGTAAGTTTTTTCTTACGGCCAGTTTGATTGATCTATCTTTTTGCCTATCGGACAATTGTAGATTAAATGTAGATCCCAGTTCAAAGATGAGCCAGACTCAGTTCGAACATGACCAAGACAACCTCATCATCTGAAGACGAGAACCGCCTGTAGATCCCCTCTAAATTGTCCACGAAATCTAGCAAGACTATACACAGAAAAGTTAACAATACATCCCTAATCTAACGGCACCTTTGTCGGAGGACCTTTGAAAGAAGAAGAATGCAAAGAAAGCAAAAGCGCAATCTCGATATGAGGAAACAACACAGAATCAAAAAAACTTGGCAAACAGGGAGCAAATAACGAGCAGGCATTACAGCCATACCATCACAGTTGACAGAGTGATTAAAAAACAAGAAAAAATCAAGTTCAGAGAGGAAAGTGTTAACTATAAATGAATCACTACAGACCCAGAAGGAGCCCACCGCAGCGACATCGTTGGAACCCAAACAGAACGGAGATTCTACAGCTTGATAACCACCAGAATGGAAGAAGAAACTTCAGACCTGCACGATAACAGATCGTAATTTGAAACAGGAAGTATCGTGTAGTCTTCAATTTCGGGATCTAAAACAAAAACAGAATCAAAATGAAAAGATAGCAACCAGAAAACGCCACCGCCGCAAAACCGAAAATCGAGGAGAAAAATAATGGGAACTCTAGAAACGACAACTGGTGCCATAATATTGAAAAACAAAAAGTTTTTTAGCAAATAGATAATTTTTATGGCCGTCCTGAAGTATTTGCTCACAACATTTTTTGATTCTTTGAAGTAGATCTAATGGGATGCGTTTTTGGTTCACTTGGATCGGTTTTAATGGTTCTTTGAATTACCTATTTACACAAAAAATTGATATATTCGTTCTAGAGATAAGGTTTTTTTGTTACATATATACGGTTTGAACTCCTTTTTTTGTGTTGTGCCGGGGGTTGTGACTGTAAGAATTCCGACAGGAATTTGATTTTGTTGAGCCGTTTCACGGAATGTTTTTTTGTACTCGTCCGTAGAGTCGATTTTGTGGATTGAGCCTGCTGTTGTGAAACTTTTATTTCCAAGGTGGCAAAATTCGTTTCCTAACAATTTTTTTCTGCACCTTCCATTAAATACATTTTCTGAGTTCTAGCTTTCCAGCCATTTGAGTGGACTCTCACCACTAATTTTTCGACTTTTTTCATGGTATCTCCAAGTTCTTGAAAGGCCTTCTTCGTTAAATTGTCTTCGCCAGCGATTTTTCAAAATCGAATTTACAATGAGTTCTTGGATTAAATCTTTCGTACCAGACTACTTTTGAGTTTCAGATGTGAATGGGTAAAAATTTTTGATTGACCCATTCAGTGTTTTCTTCAGCTCGTTTCCGTCGTCTGAAAAAACTGGTTTAATTTTCTCTCTATTTGATTGTTGATAAAGTTTAGTTTATTGTCAGTTTTTACCGATGAAACTAGGAAACCCTCCATGCTTACTTAAAACTAGGGCTTTTCATTAAGGGTGCTCCGATGTAATTGTTGTTACGGGGTGTTGGAAATTTGATTAATGAGAGTTGTCTGGTTTCTAGCTGAATTTCTACAGTGTCTGTCAAAATGTCCTTTTCGGTCACTGTTACTGCAATTACTCTATCTGGCGGAGCATGAGGTAAAGTGACCTTACTTGAATTGTTAAACCTAATTTCGATATTTTTCATTCCCTACAATGTTCGATGTTAGCTTGCGTTTTACTTGAACTTATTTTTGTACAATTTATAGGGTGTGGTATTTATTGCTGTGAATCTTTGTGGCTTTTACAAGGACTAGAGCCTAGTTTAGCACAACTTTTGGACTCAGATACTAATCCACAAAAGATCTTAGATCTCGACATTTCTCAAATTTTTGATGAAAATATCCTGTTATAATTCAATTACAACTCAGTTTACAACCAGTTTACAATGTTTCGCCTCTTCTGGTAAACTTTCAAGTATTTTTGCCATGATCTTCTATTTGCAGTCAATAAATTTATAAGTTTTGTACGCTAGGTTCATAATTACTGTCAAGAGGTTTTCATGGTCTCCTAAAACTCTGCAAAATTGATATCTAATTTGCCTGGATTTTTTGAGGGCAAATAATTTCTGATATTTTTTACTAGAGCCAAGTACAGTTTGGATTTTAGCTTTTTGCCCAAGACTCCTTTTTGTAAGCTGTTGTGTTTTGCGTGTTCTTCTGTTCATCTATGTATTTCCTCATTTACGCCAAAACTGCCCGTTTTTTTTTCTTCTCTCGCCACGAGATGGGTTTGATCCTTGGTCGTATCCGAAATTTTTGGAATGGGATAAGTTAGTTTGAGTCTGAGCTGTGGATTTATTACATCTTTCATGTCAACTGAACCTCTTGCGAAAATTGTTAGTTGGAGTTTTTAGCATCATTTTTTCCCAATCTTGGTGATCTTCGTTCGATGATTTGTTCCAAGAAAATTGAGTCCTGGTAGATTCTAATTGTATGACTGCTTCCTTTTAACAGTGAGATTGACCTAGATAGTTTAAACTGATCCAAGACAAGAAAAAAATTTGGATTTGAGAAAAAAAGGATTCCTACAACAAGGAGTTTTAGTAGATTTTTTTGAAAAAGACTAGTTTAAAAGAATTTTCTGGTTCCCAGCCCAAAATCAAAACGTTTTTCATTTGCTAAACTTTTTTGATGTTAACAAAATTTCAAGCAAGCGCGTACAAATAAGACTAGACCTAGTTCCTAGTTGATGGAGAGCAAACCTAAGACCATCAAAGTTAAAAACTGAAAAATATGAGAATCGTGAAAATCTCATAGAAAATATGTAAACTCAAATGATTGAATTCTTTGATGACCGTTAGAACATGAAGAAACTTTGCTATCGGACTGATACATACAGGGAGGTTGTCATATCAGAGACAGACTTCAGCTGCATGACCTGCAGTGATTGACGATTGACGCAGAGCGCCTACCGCAAGAACACGCTGGAAGACACTTTTTGTTGCATTCTGTAACATCGTTACGAGGCCAAACTGTGCACTGGATAGGCGCACAATTTTGTGCCTGAATATTCCTGGATTCCAGAGACAGGTATTTAAACATGTTCCAAAAAGTAAGTGGATTCCACTTACAAGAATTACGTGGATTCCGCGTACATATAACTGTAACGTAAAATTTGTCGGCACCTTTAATTTTTTGCGGATTCCGCCCCAAGCAAATACAGCTAGTTGTTCTGGATTTCGCAGCTGTAGGGGAATTCCTCAAAGTGTAAGTGGAATCCGCAAATGTAAGTGGAATCCGCATAATTGGTGAGCGGAATCCGCAAACTGTGAAGGAATTCAGATATTTGTTTATTACTGAACTTAGATATGCACTTGCGGAATTTTAAAGCAAGGATTTAACCATTGTCAGCGGAAACCACGAAAAAATCTTAAAACATTGGTTATCTAAATCGATGGATGTCACACCATTTTATTTGCGAGCAGTTTTTGGGATCATAGTTTTAGAAACACAAAACCGATTAAAATCAATGGGTTAAATCGGTAATTGTGTTGATATTTCGCCGAATTAGGTCAGTATTTGGGATTCAGTAATTGAGATTCAGTATTTGGGATTTTGTATTTGAGATTCAGTATTTGGGAGCGTGAATTCAAATCATTTTGTTCACAGGGAGTAAATGATCTGTTTAACTGATTCGAAGAAATTAGCATTAGATAAAAATTACCAAAACTGAATTACAGCAGAATTAAATTTTAAGTTCAAAAACACGAATATATAGTCCCAAAAATGTTGCCTTATCAAAATATGTTCTGGTTTCGCAATTTGAAAATATTTCAAAATGGCTAAACTAAAACTTTTTTATTTTAATTGAATGGCTTGAAATGAACTGATGAATAAGTTTACAGGAACTGTGATTGATGACAAGAATTAATATCGAAATTAACCTTTGTAGGAAGTGAGATTGAAGCTGGGTATGTTTGACAGGAATTGAGATGAGATCGAAGTTGAGTGTTGTCAGGAATTGAGATCGAACTCTTGGTATTCCAACTGGTAGCTGATCAACGTAGTAATTAAAAGATATAGTTTTAAACGCTACTACACATACATATAATTAAACGGAACCCGCAAAAAAAAAATGCGGAATCCACTTACAATTTGCGGATTCCACTTACAGTTTGCGGATTTCGCTTACAGTTTCTGGTTCCGCAACAGCTCAATTCAACTATACACATGTCTAATTAATTGTTTCTGGATTCCACAAACTGTTCTGGATTCTGCAGATACGGTTGCGGATTCCGCGAATTCGCCTATTTTTCGAGCGATTTTGAACGGTACAGTGTTTTAGGGTTTTGTTTGTGGAATCCAAAACAGCAAAAAAGATCAAAGAAATGAAGCACTGTTGCGGATTCCGCGACAAACCTGAGTTGGGCCTGTTGAGGAATCCGCTTACAATGCACAGAATGCACAGTTTGGCCTCGTAATGATTTTGTGGCATCTCTTAACTTATTCCCTTCTATGGAACCTATCATTGACAAAGTAACCTATAACGAAATATTTCAATTGCTAAGCTTGAGGTTTTGAACCTAGTATGTTTTACCGATTTATAACAAATTTTGGTACAATTGTCGTCTCTTAAGTGCCCCACTAACGCTTTTTGATCTGTGAGGTTTGAAAATTCTTGGTCTATTAGAGAGTTTTTGAAGTGATCGATTGCCCCATTTGGCCTATATTGAATTTAACTAACTCTTATCGAACTGCTCAGAAGTTAGACAAGACATGTTATTAATCTAAAATTAGAATAGTGAATAAATCATATCAGACAAAGATTACCTGAAATTCTAATTTGCCGGCGGGTCTGAATCTCTTTTAAGAGTGTTCGAAAAAAATATATTCTTTGAGAATCGATTTTTTTTGCGCAGAAAACACAGAACATAGGTAAAATTACTTTAAAAAAATCGACTCAATGTAAGGCTGAAATGTAACACTAGGTAAATGATGGAAAATTGACTATATAAACTGTCAAATTTACTACCCGGGATGACCGAAACTTCTTATCATACAATTTCCATATATGAGAAACTTCTTGTCATACAATTCCATACGTAGAGAAAATTGTATGAAATCTCTATGATAAACATTTTTCCATATATGAAAATTGTATGATAGATGTTTTTCCAAAAACCAAGAAGCTTGATTTATTCTTTCTAAATTTATTTTCTGAAAAAAATTTCGGTTGTGTTTGCAACCGAACACAAGTGACAAAGACCTTGGTTACTCAAAGCACCAAAGGTTGGATGGTCTTTGCATTTATAATGCATAGAAAAGGACCCAACTTCTGCTGTCTTTCACAAATAATATAACAAAAATAACAAACTTTTAATTTTTGGCAAAATTTTTCAATGGTGGTTCAAATTATCAGACATTGATCAAGGCATATATAAACACCCCATACAAAAGAAATAGGAATTTTCAGGGTTTTTGAAAAAAAAATTCAAGTCAAAAGAAAATAAAAGCCAATATTATCGTATCCAGGACTACGTTATGCACACAAAAAAATTAAATTTTGCATCCAAAATTTTTTTCGAAAAATGTTT